TTATATGACGTTGAAATGACGTTGCTAAAGTCATTTAAACGTCAGAAGACGTCATATAAACGTCAGTGTGCTACCTGGGTAAGGAGACAGGTGAAATAGGCCCTAAATGATAAGGCAAATGACAGGTGGAGGAGTGATGGCAAGCCAGAGACTTCACTTCTTTAGTTATATGTAGTTTTCTGTTCTTTTTTATGTTTTCATAAAAATAAATATTTAAATTAAAGAATAAGACTTTTATTTTAAAACCCAATGTTATTTATTGAAAAGTAAATATCCATTGATTCACCATATCCAATACAGATGACAACCATATTGCATTAAATACCCTATCCATTGGATATCCATACAATCTCCATATTGAATACAGATTAAAACCTTATTGCATACAATACTATATCCACTGGATATCCATTGGATATCCACACTATGTCCAGGAGGGTCGGACATTTATATATCCAATGGTTATCCACTGGATATCCTATGTATATCCTGGATATCCATAAAAGAAATCCATTGGATATCCATTGGATGTAATTGTTCCGTGTGGGTGGGTACTGAGGTTCTGGGAGATCTTAGCTTCTACAAACATTGTACACTGGATATTGTTTTGTTGTATGTAGTTATCAATATTAAGTTTTCGTTTTGAGTAGCTGTTTATAATATTGTATAGAATTTTAACTGACATATTGAGTTATATTTTCCTCCGTGGATGGTTTTGTGGGGAATTCAGAGTTGGGTTTTTCCAGGTCAAACATTAGGATATACATTCGGGTTCCAGAAAATACTGCCTGGGTGTCAATCTTAAAGTTATTTACAAACATTTTCCTTAGTTTTTGAATAAGTTCCTCCCTTTTTTCCTCATTGTTTTTTTCATCGTTTAGAGTGTTGATGTATGTGTTTATTATGTGATCATGGATGGTTATTGAAGAGTGAATCCTTGATTTTTTAATTTCCTCTGGTAGTTCTGTAGATTTTTGGTTAATTGGTTTAATTGGCATGTTAGGAATGCCTGGTATAGGAGTTGTTGGTCGCTTGGGGCATTTAAATGACCATGCTTGATGATCAATAGCATTACAGGCAGTACATTTAGGTTCAAGATTTGTAGTGCATTTGTTAGTTGCGTGGTCTCCAGAGCATTTGTTGCAGGTTGTTTTTTCTTGGCAATTTTCAGTAGTATGGTTAAATGAGTTGCATTTGATGCAAGGTTTGTGAGCAGCTGGGGGTGGGTGCTAGGATAGACTGGGTAGTGACAGCTCTTGTAGAAAAATCCATCTTGAAGCAGGGATTTAAATGTTATTTCACTAGCTGTTATTATTCTTATAAGTGTGGTGGGTTTGTTGGTGGCTTTTGAAATAATACTTTTGCAATATCGATGTGGTTTTTCTTCTTCTTTAAGATGATTGCTGATGTCAATGTCACTTATTTCTGTCTCTACTCTGCTTATAACTACAGAAAACGACGGGGCGCTGATCTGCCTAGATGGACTTATGTTCGGTGCAGTTTCCTTAAAATCTTTAATTATTGAGTGTGTCTTCAGGTTTTCCAACGATTTTACTATAATTTTCTTATCGGTGTCTGTTTTGAGAAGAAATCCATGTTTTGTTTTGATTATGACGTCTTTCCGTGTCACGAAAGACTCTTTCGTTTTAGGGAATTCGATTTCATGCCCTGTGCACTCGCCTTAAACAAACAAAATCCACATTTTTGTCTAGTCGACTTTGGTTTTAGTTTACACTCGAGTTGCATGTGGCAGGAGCGGCGGTTAATCTTGACGGTTGCTTGGTAACGAAATCAACAAACTTCAGTTTGATAAATTTTGTAAAGTTTTGTAAATTCATATTGTGTTTATTTGGTTTGTTCTGTACGCTTAAAAACTTTTATAATTGCGATTTATCGTTATCTGTGTACTCTATTTTTTATATATTGCTACATTATTTGAACATTAACATGGTGTTGTGCTGTGCTGTGGGCTGCTCTAACAGTCAAGTTATGATGCATACTTTTCACAATGATGACAAGGTTGTATTGTATTATTCAATTATAACTATTTTATTAAAACAAGGTACTTACACAAATGTGGTACATAATATTATTACTTTATACTGATTTGTGTTCTTTAATAAGATAAAATTCACTTGAATACATTATTATATTGTAAATTGGTTTAGTTTAAATACCTTGAATAATTTAAAATATAATACCTACATTTATTTTTGCTTTTCAAATAAACAATTTAAATAAACTATCAGGCCTTTTATTTTTTACTATTTTGACTGTCAAAATTTGACAGGATAACCTAAATTAAAACCATAACCTAAAACCAATAAATGTCAGGCGGGTACACTAGCGGCATAGCGTGCCGAGTGTGCGTAACAAGGAGCGTCAAATATGTGACAGTGGCGTATCTATATGATTTATTATCTATGTTCGATTTCCCATGTATCAGCCATGAATAACCGAGTCGTATCAATGTTGGTAGGACTGATAAAGTACATAATTTTAAATTTTTTGTGCAAAATAGCATTCATGTTGTCACTGTATACTATAGTTAATGTTTTTTTGTGGATGTTGGTTTTTGTTGGAATTGTGTGCAGTGTTGTTGTTTTTTGTGGGTTCGTTTTTGTTATTTTCGAGGTCTTTCGTCACGCGTTTTTTATGAGGTTGAAGTTTTGGTTCTCTATTATTATTAAATCCTATTAATTCAATATCGGGGCTATCAGGATCTCTACTTCGTTTGTTTCTATCTTTAACAGGTTCGAACGTCCCCCCATCACCATCATCTTCATTTTCATCCATTTTTTTTTAAACAAAAAGCACTATATAAACTTGTTAATATTGCGAGCTATGTGCACCGTGCCGCTTGTGAAGTTGTTTAATTAAAAATGAAACTTGGGTATTTGTTGAAAAACCAAATGAAAAAAAATTCTAGATCTAAAATGGGATTATAATATAAAAGCAAATAATGTATATAAAGCGAGGTTGGTAGTTAGGGGATATCAACAAAATGAGTTTATTGATGATATTTAATCACCTGTGGCAAGAATGCAAACGTTAAAAATGTTATTGTCATATTGTTGTAATAATGGTTTAAAAATAATGCAAATGGATGTCGAAACCACAGACCACCAAAACAAATGGACGGCGCATTGCCTTTCAATAACAATGCTTTGTTTGCGGTCAACAAACGGTCACAGTCTAAGCGTCAAATTGGAGATAGAATTTTATGTTTTCTTCCAGTGACGTCAACAAACGGTCACATTATAAGCGTTAAATTGGATATAGAATTTTATGTTTTCTTCCAGTGACGTATGATATGTAAACTTTGCTTACGGGTCCAGAACACTATAGCACACTCTGAATTTCCAAAAAAAAAATTTACCATTTGAAAAAGGACGTTTTAAATAGTAAATTTCATAAATAAAAATTGCGGGTTTTTCACCAGTTTTTGAGAAAATTAAGTTTGAAAATGCTTTTTTTGACAGATTTTTTGACAAGAACCGTCAAGAAATGCCAGATTCAAATAAATTCATCGCAATGTTGCCAGATGTAAAATTTTTACTTTGTTTGGGGAAATTTATTATGCAACCCAGATTACATGAAATTATTCCTAATTACATACATACATTTTATACCGTTTATTTTTTAAAGAACTTTAATACATGAAATATTTTTTGTTCCGCCCACGACTGTTCATTATTAAAAAAAATATCTCGTTTTATAAAATACTTCTTGCATTTCTTTTATTTAATGTATAGCCTTATATAAAACACAATTTTGATGCCAAAATAATATACATTAATAAATTACCTTCAATTTTTTTATAAAAGTTTTGTGATTTGTGCCGTCCGCGTGATTGAAATGGCCGTTTGAATTCTAAATGACTTATATATATAATATATAATATATAATATATTATATATATTTATACACAGTGTGTCTATGGATGGACTTAATTATGCTTGTAAAAATATTTATTTTCAATTTTTCGAGGAAAAGTCACTCTTCATAATTTATTCTCGATGAGAAACTCCTATTTTGTTATACAGGGTGCGCAAAAAAAATACAATTGAGTGATTCTCTGGCATTTTTACATTTTCAAAACGCTGAAAGTAAAAAAAATAATGGTTTTTAATTAAATTTGCAACTTGTTTATCATAAAGGTTGTACTAATGGCTTCTGGTTTCTAACTGGGTAACAAAATATTTTGTAAAAGTTTTGAGATAAAGTCGGAAGAAACCTGCCATGTTGAGAAATTCGTCATTACCGTCCTTTATGTTCTTCTGCATGAAAACGTGTGAAGTCTTTCTTATATTTGTGATTGTGCGTTATACATATAACCAGTGCATGGGCAAGTAATGAAAGGTCTGTAGCAAAAGCAAATCATGCTTTCTCTGCTATAATGGTAACTGGAAGAATAAGGAAAATGTGGTATAATCGAAATTTACAAGTTATTTTTTTTGTAATTTTGTAAGAACGTATAAAATATTATAAATTTCATCAGAAATGTTTAGTTATAATTACTTTATATAAATTCACCAAATTGTATTTTGGGAAAGCTATATTAAAAAATATTATATATTTTATTTTGTTAAGAAGGACGGTAATGACAATTGTGGGATGGTATTGATTAAAAAAAGGTAAGGTAACGGTTAAGTTGTAAATAAAATATCTGATTTCTTAAACAAATATGTATTAAATTGTATCAAAAGTATAAATAAATAATAAAACTCCAAACAAACTTAATGATGCCTTAAAAATAGATGTCAGTATGTCTTAACAAGGTAACGTTTTTAATAAACTATTAATGTGTCCTTTTCCATAATACTGAAATGTCTACTAGAAACTGGGTTTGGGGGATATTTTAATATGCATAAAATTTTTTTTTTGGCCAAAAGTAATTTTGTCCAGCTCGAGCCATAAAAGATATTTTTAAATTATCTTTAATAGTTTCTACTACTATCCCTGGACACCAGTTTGTATCATGAAACACAGCCACCCAATCACCACATTTTATTTATGCTAGTCTTGCTGCAAGCTTGTCTACTTTTCTGTAAAAGATTAAAAAACCAAAGAAAAGAAATATTTAAAGTACATACTGTAAATTTTATGACAAAAAGTAATATTGATACTCAGTTTGTGACTTACCTTTGAAAGTACAGAATCATCAGGAGAATTAACAGGTATATTATTTATGATTTCATTTTCGATTTCGTAATTTTTATCTAAAATCATATCATCATTGTCATTTTTAGGATACACTATTTCACATAGTTCATAATGAGAGCAATCTTCACAAAAACAACTGAGGTATTTAAATTTAAGTTTCTGGGGATTGTCAGATTTCCATAACACTTGATGAATTCGCATTGTCCCCTTAATAGATTTTAATGATAATGGAACTACATCTTGGAATTTATCAAATTCATTTTCTTCTATTAAAAAAAGTTTAATTTTTGATTGTGGATTTGTCGCATGAAGAACATGGACAAAATCTTTTGCGCACATTATGTCGTTGCCATGAGAAACAGCCAAATCAGCCATCTTTTTTAATGATCCTCCAACTCCATCTGCAGAACTCTTCCCATGTCCTGCCTCAGAGAAATTCCATGTTAGTTTCTTAAAACCACGCATTTTTCCAAAATACGTAATAAGGAAGAAATTTATTTTATTTCGGTATTGAGAGGTTGGACCGTCACTGATAAAATGGATAGTATCTAGTCCAGAGATTAATTTTGTAGCTAACTCTAAAGCTGGTTGTAAATGGGCCCAAATTGCGTATGGTTTGTGGCAGAGTTGATCCGAAACAGTGGTAAAGGATTGGTGGTGCAATTTGTCACCAATTTTAAAATATATGACACCAGTGTGGAGACTAAGTTGAGGTTTTGATGCTCCAAAGTGCACGCTCTGTATTTCGTTTGAGTATTTGCATCCATAGTTCTCTGAAAAATCGATGTTTATGATTGCTGAACCGGACGAAATGTTTTGCCGCAATTGCTTAATTTTTTTAAAGTGATGTTGGATATTGTACTCATGGATTAAAAATTTTGGAAATAAATCATTTATTTTTTTAACTAAATCTTGAACCGAACAAGAAATTCTTTCCTTGGCTGTTATTCTTACTTTTATTTCTTTTCCATTTTTATCTTTTCTTTCTTCAACCCTACTTTTCCACTCATAATAAAAAGTCACGCGAGCCGACAGTTCTTCGTTAGCTAAATGGCATTTTTTGTTCTTACATGATTGACATTCACGATACATGCAATTTTTGTCCTTGTGATTGCAAACTAATTCTCTTATAACTTCACTGGGTATTTTACTCCTTACAATCTTAAAGTAATGTAGCTTTTGCAAAATAAATTTAACGTTTTCATGTTTGATACATAAGCATGTATCTCTGTTAGACACTCTTGGTTTTAGAACATAAAATGGACGCAATCTACAGAAGGTGCTAAAAGATATTTTTGACTTAAGCTGATCGACATACTTTTTGTATAGGATTTTTAGTGTTGTAGTAAGGTACCTCTTTTGTTTGGTAATTTTTCTCTTGGTAATTGTATCACGTTTGCCAGGTGCTGGTATGGTATTTTCATCCTCAAGAAAAAAGTTCTCAATTTGTCGTCTTATACTCATCATTTGTTGGGTTCGGAGTTGCCTTTTTTTAACATGGTTAATTTGAGATTTAAGGTGTTTTTTTAAAATATGACGAGACACAATAGACGTTGCTTCAGATTGAACACGATATTTTTTATAAATAGAAGATGAGATACAAGCCCCTAATATATTTTTTTCCACTTCATTAGAATCTTTCGCCTTTGCCTTAATTTCTTTTACCAAACATTCACTAAATAGTAATTTCTTTTTTATGTCATTAGTTGTTTGTCTTAAAATGTTTTTTACATTAGTATTGGGTGAAGGGGAACGTGATTGTTTACGTTTTTTCTTCGATAATCTATTGTAACGTTTTTTGTAACGCTCGGCGCGTTGTCCTAAAGTTTTTAAAGATTTTCGTAAGTCCAAAATTGTTTTTTTGTATTCCCTATAATTCTTAGTCGATGTCCTTTTAGTCTTTACTCTGCTATTTTTTTCTGCTTCTGGAGGTGAAGTTGATGAGCTTAAGGGTGAGGTTTTTTCGTCTATAATTTTTTCTAACCTCCCCTGTTGATTTTTTTTTAATCTGTATGCCCTGGAATTTTCTGTCCATTTTTTTCTTTGTCGTTTCTTTTCTCGTGTATTCTTTTGCATTATAGGTGTTAACTTTCCTTCTTCCTTTCTTTTTTTATTTCGTTCTTTCTCTCTCTCTGTATATTTTGTATATGCTTCTATATTTTGTCTTCTTTTTTCCCTCTGCCTTCTCTTTTTTTCTCGGGCTTTTTTCCGTTGCTCTTCATTATTTACCTTGACCTTTCTCTTTATATTTTTTACTTGAACTTCTTTTGGGCAATTTTTATCAGCACGTGTGGTGGCGCTAGTAGATTGGTTTTCCTCAGCAGTATATGGCCCTAATTTTATTTTCAAAGTATTTTTCTTTGGCAAAACCGATGGTAAAACCTCACTACTATTACTATTTTCTAGGGGGGGTTCTTTCTTTGATATTCTCTCTTTGGATTCTAATTTTTTTTTATGGTAATTTTCTCTTTGAATTTTTTTCTTTAACTCATACTTTTGTATCTTAGTTAACTCCCTTCTTTTCTGAGCTTCTTCTTTCATATTTTTCAACTTTGCTTTTAATTTGTTTACTAGATCGTCATCCATTATGCCCTAAAAGTTATATAAACTCACCATGGTATCATTACCGTCCCTTTAGAATCATTACCGTCCCCAAGCAGAAAAATCTTTCAAAGGGACGGTAGTGACGGGGACGGTAATGACGTTTCAACATGTTATTTTGCGCCAATTAAATTAAGGTTATGTTCTGACATTTAAAAGGTACACCAGATTAATTTTGACTACTTTTACCATCTCATGCAGGTAAGTAAAACAGTTTACTACAACTAACCTTTGTTTAAGAAATAGGGACGGTAATTACACCAAAATGTAAAAAATGCGGTTTGCATACCTTTCTTAGATGATCAAAGCACAAAAGCAACTCACCAACACTTTGACTGTCAAAGGTCAACTAAAGAGCGATGACGCTAATCTTAAAAACATGTTACATTGGCGCGGAGCGCGATCTGGTGGCAGAAAATTATATTAGAAAAGACGCGACGGTAATGACGTGCAAAATTCGGGACACACTTTCAGTATTTAATAGCCAATTATTATCGTAAGATACTAACAAATTTTGACTTTTAATACATTATTTATACTATTTTTATGTACAAGAAAGCAACAAACGTCTAAAAAGTGGTTTATTGTTAAAATATTGCAGAAAATAACAATCAATTTAGTGGGTAGGGACAGGGGACGGTAATGACTTTTTGCCGATTCTTCTCTATATTTGAAGCATTTGTTACAAAAGGATCGGTATATTTTAATCAAGCATTAGTTGGAAAAATAGCAATGTTAAAATTAGTAAAATATTTTTAATGATAACTTGTAATTTGAGGTAATAATTCGTCCAGGACTTGAAATGCAAAAATGTCTGAGACTAACTCAATTGTAGATTTTGCAAAATTAAAAAATGTTAAATTTTTTTTAAGGTCTAATAGGAAGAGCTTGTAAGAATAAACCAAAAAGCCAAATACAGTTTTTCATGTGAGTTGTTGTTACTAAGATATTTGTTATTAAAAATAAAATCAATTTAATATCAAAAACTCATATGAAATGCGCCTAGGCAACTAAAGTCAATCAGTATTTATAAAGTACCTGCACATGTAATCATATAAAATAAATGCCGAGCGAAGCGAGGCGGACTTGTTTAGTGCCTGAGCCCGATTTGGCGCGCGCATAATTGGGCTAAGGAATTGACCAAGCCCGCCTAGGTTCTTTGTAAACGTAATTAAATTAAATAAATGCCGAGCGAAGCGAGGCGGGCTTGGTCAGTGCCTGAGCCCAATTTCGCACGCGCAAAATTGGGCTCAGGCACTGACCAAGCCCGCCTATGCTCTTTGTAAACGTAATTAAATTTAATAAATGCCGAGCGAAGCGGGCTTTGTAAACGTAATTAAATTAAATAAATGCCGAGCGAAGCGAGTAGGGCTTGGTCAGTGCCTGAACCCAATTTCGCGCGAGCCAAATTGGGCTCAGGCACTGACCAAGCCCTACTCGCTTCGCTCGACATTTATAATAAATGATTTATTAAATTTGATTACGTTTACGAAGAGCCTAGGCGGGCTTGGTCAGTGCCTGAGCCCAATTTCGCGCGAGCCAAATTGGGCTCAGGCACTGACCAAGCCCTACTCGCTTCGCTAGACAATTATAATAAATGATTTATGAAATTTGATTACGTTTACGAAGAGCCTAGGCGGGCTTGGTCAGTGCCTGAGCCCAATTTCGCGCGAGCCAAATTGGGCTCAGGCACTGACCAAGCCCTACTCGCTTCGCTCGGCATTTATAATACATGATTTATTAAATTTGATTACGTTTACGAAGAGCCTAGTAATTAAATTAAATAAATGCCGAGCGAAGCGAGTAGGGCTTGGTCAGTGCCTGAACCCAATTTCGCGCGAGCCAAATTGGGCTCAGGCACTGACCAAGCCCTACTCGCTTCGCTCGACATTTATAATAAATGATTTATTAAATTTCATTAAGTTTACGAAGAGCCCAGGCGGGCTTGGTTTATGCCTGAGCCCAATTTCGCGCGCGCAAAATTGGGCTCAGGCACTGACCAAGCCCTACTCGCTTCGCTCGGCATTTATAATAAATGATTTATTAAATTTGATTACGTTTACAAAGAGCCTAGGCGGGCTTGGTTTGTGCCTAGGCCTAGGCTCTTTGTAAACGTAATTAAATTAAATAAATGCCGAGCGAATCGAGGCGAGCTTGGTCACTGCCCGAGCAAAATTGGGCTCAGGCAAACAAAAACTCCCAGACGCGTGATAACTCGTTCTTATTGGTCAATTCTGATAGTGTGACTCGGACAACGAAGAATATAATAAAATAAATTTTACTTACCCAGCAAAAACGGATAGGCTTCCAGAAAAAAATATCACTAATATACCGATAGGTTTGAACGAAGACCCATAATTTGGGCGACGCGACGCGGACAGATACTTTCATTGTGTCGAAAAAAGTACCGCGAGGACACTGTAGGTAATCCTTTTTGCATCTTATACAGAAAAGGCGTGGTCCAGGACATATACTCCAGATCTGGGTCTTAAAATGCAAATTCTCCTACAATTCCTCACCTTACAGCGTAACTGGGCTTTTACAGTCCAGCCTGATGTAATGCAGTTATTAACTCTCCATCTGACTTGAGATGTAAGCTCATAAACATTAATAATGTTTTGATAATTCATTTTGAAATAAGTAGCAAATGGCACAAATAAATTGACACTAATTAATAGGTACCCCCCTATTGAAAATGCCATATAGAACCATATAAAAAACACGTATCTGGATTCTATATGGTTTCTTTCTGGTTCAAAATAGGTATTTGAAACAGGCATTTCACTATAGAACCAGATAGAAGATTACATTATAGAACCAGATAAAAACACTCTAAAACACTATAGAACCAGATAGGGAAACCTATCTGGAAATACATATAGAACAGAAACCAGATAAATCCATATACATCCATATACATGTCTTTTTAAAGACATGTATATGGTTGTATATGGATTTATCTGGTTTCTGTTCTATATGTATTTCCAGATAGGTTTCCCTATATGGTTGAATATGAAAATTTTTAAAATGGAAATCCATATTCAACCATATAGAATCCGTAATGTAAACCAGGACTTTCCATATAGGACCTATAAAACCATATAGAACCAGATACGTTTCCTTATCGGATTCAATATGGGTTCTATATGGCATTTTCAATAGGGCCATATCAATTAAATGACAACTGCAATAATAACAAATTTTGTTTAAATTCAAAATTTTCCAATTATGATATTAAATTAAGTGCAAAAATTAATCCAATACCTAATATAAATAATTTATTTTAATAATTACATGTATAAGTATTTAAATTAAAATTATTTAAAGTATTTAATTAAATGATATTATCATTATGATAATACCTATAATAAATTAAAGGCCGTGACTAGAAGTACACCGGGAGCATTTTTCCGTCTCCTATAGTGCTAGCGCAACCGAGTGCGCTAATCGTGTAGGATACGGAAGCGAGACCTGCATCTCCGTTCCCTAAGTGGTTAACGCACCGCATACGAATAAGCACTCTGCAATGAGCTTTCTAGATGATCTTTCTTTGTATGTACATATAAAATAATAATAATAATAATAACCAAACAAACAGATTAAAGGCGCGAATCATTGTATGCACGTTATAGCGCGATAATACACTAGAGGCTAAATGTAGCAAAGTATTCCTCAAGGTTATGACGAATAGCTGTCATCTTGGTTATGCAGGTACTATGCTCCACACTTCAAAGTCCCACCACGTGACCAGGTACGGAACGCAGTCTTTTGAAAACTTGTCATTTAACGCTTTTCAGGTTATGTATCTGTCAAAGTATAGTCAATGAAAGAAATAATATTTATGTTTATGTTTAAGAGTTAAAAGTTTATAAATCTTTATAGTATCACAGTAACAATGGTTGGTTTAAGAGTTTAGGAGTATAAATACTGCATTTAATGAAATTCTATTCTTTTTCTATGTTCTAAAGTCTATAGTGCCAAATAAGTAAAATTTATGTGCATTTGGTCTACATAATATGTTAATATATTATATCTGGTTTTATCCATAAATTAGTAACTAAACGGCATTTATTAAAAAAATCTAGCTTCTCTATTATGGAATAAGAATATCTGTATCAAAGGTAGGTTAATATATTATAACAAAAACACAGTGACTAGAGGCACGCTAACGTACCGCGATTGGAAATATTAAAGGCACGTTAGTTACGTCATAATTATAATCCGTTTTTGTTCCCTGTCCATTTAATATTTGACATCAAGCTAAATAGCTTATATGGTAGGGCGTTCGCTTGGCATGCGAGAGGTCCGGGGTTCGAAACCAAGTAGCTGTCGAATTTTTTTTATTTTTTTATTTCATAAATTTGTTGTTTCTTTGTTAAACAGTGTTCGGTTGGGTTGGGTTGGTTGGTTTGTTTTAGTTTTATCGTAACATAAAATCTACTAGAAGTTGTCGAACTTTTCTTATTTCATAAATATGTTGTTCCTTTGTTAAAAAGTGTTTTATTTTTATCGTAACATAAATTTGCCCATTTTAGTTGGGTTTTTTGTTCAATGGGGCGGGGGGGGGCCAATGGGGCGGGGTCGGTTGGGTTGTGTTGTTGAGTTTGGGATGGTTTGAGTTTATGACGTAACTAACGTGCCTTTAACATTTCAAATCGCGGCACGTTAACGTGCCTGTAGTCACAGCGAAAATATTATCTAATTTTGAAATTTTAAGGTTAGAAAAATCTATTTTGATCAAAATAAATAAGTATTTTGGATTATTTGGAAGAGTGTGTTAATATGGTCATATAAATATAGATATACTAAATAATTGTTGAATATGGTTTAAATTAAATTAAAGCTTTTATACTCCTAACAACAAAACTTGTGCATACCTACCTCTCGGGATCCCTACTTTAAGTTAGATTATAAGGAAACAAACAATTTTTAGAGATACATGCAATTTAAAAATATTTAATACTCCCATAACATGTGATTTTTGG